ACTAGGACCTACAGTCCCAGTCCAGTAGACCAGTCTGTTACACTAGGAGCTACAGTCCCAGTCCAGTAGAACAGTCTGTTACACTAGGAGCTACAGTCCAGTCCAGTAGACCAGTCTGTTACACTAGGAGCTACAGTCCCAGTCCAGTAGACCAGTCCTGTTACACTGGGAGCTACAGTCCCAGTCCAGTAGACCAGTCTGTTACACTAGGAGCTACAGTCCCAGTCCAGTTTAACCAGTCTGATCAAGGCCTTATAAACGTTTTACACTCCAGTAACGTTCTGAGTGCAGGACGTGTGCTTCTGATTGTGTATCTAAATACCTTAAACATCAGTTATCTGCACATCAGGTCTAGTTGGGTGGATGAGGCTTTGCTCTATCCAGCAAAGTGCATGAGCCAGAGTGTGGAGTGCAGTACACAACACCTACACCTTCCTTACTGTAGCACAGACACACAGACAGAGACAGAGCTACTGTAAGCATAGACACACACAGAGAGACAGACAGCTATAGACACAGAGACAGCAACAGACAAACACACAGACACGCAACTACGGAAAGAGAGGCAGACAACTACACACAGACAGTTACAGAGACACAGACAGACATACAGCTCCAAACAGAGAGACAGACAGCTGTAAACAGACAGAGTCTTAGACAGACAGAGACAGCCACATAGAAATGCAGAAACGCAGACAGAGGCACAGACACACAGATAAGTAAATATATAGCCAGAGAGACAGATATAGACACAAACAGATGAACAGAGACAAACAGATAAAGAGACACACAGACACACAGGGCGACCGACAGATGTAGTCAGACAGTTAAACATATGACGCAGACAGTAAGAGACAGAAAGACAGTCAGACATAGACACACAGACAGTCAGGGAGACAGAGGGACACGCACACACGAGCACACTCATTTTTAAACTTCACTAGACTAATAACGCTGTAGTCAGCCCGCAGAGAGAGTGCCAATTAATTTCCTATTCATTAATATGAGCACTATCGATAGAGCAGAGCCCCCCGGAGCCCCCACCCCTGCCAGCACTCAGCAGCGGCAAAGCAGGGCGGAGCAGCAGGAGAGGAGCCTGGAAACAGCGCAGGGGCGCAGCCCGTCGCCGGCTAACCGCCCGCCCAGAGGACTCTTAATTACTTAATTGATATCTTATTAGATGCTAATTAATCAATTATATCAATTATGGAAATGTGCAGC